TCTCAACCCTCTCCTGGAGAGATACCCCTAAGATAGGACTATCCTCCCATGGTGAGGGCTCCAGCTATCCCACCATGCCTTGATGCCTATGTTGATTATTTGTAACCCATTGTTTTCCCCCCTTGGTACCACTCTTGCCTTCCCCCATAAAAACCTCAGCTTCTTCCCAGTTCAGGAAGGAGCTATTGTTCCTGGCCACCATTTGCAGAGCTGCTGGACAATAAAGGCTACCTCTTTGGAATCACCATACAACACTTCTGCCTCTCTGTCTCTGAATTGGCCTGGGATAACCTCTCAAGCAGAGCTGAAACCACTGAGATGAAAATCACTGAGCTGATCACTTGTTGCCACAGGCTGCCCCTTGCTGACATTACCTGGTGGCCAGAAGACAGCCTGAGACCTCTAGAAATCTGTCTCCCAGGAGACCTGTCTCTGGGAAGGTCATGGCATCCCAGGTCCCGATAGGACCATCCCAGGGATCAATGGACCTGCCTGGCTACCACACATGCTCAGCTCATTTTTTTCAAGTCTGCACTGCTACATGTCCTCTCTTTGGACAGCATTACAAACACAAGATTACCTGTGTAAATTTCTTCAGAAGGACTTTCAAAGCCAACTTCTACATAATTTAAACTGTCTGAAGTCATGTCCTGGGTGGTTACTTGGCTGTAAATCCCCAAACCTCTCAATTCCCTATCCAAAAGCAGAAGATTATCAGCTCCCAAAATTAAGCTGCTGTTTAGCTCACTAATATGATCTGAAATTAGGGCACCCAGCAATAATACTCTGTGATACACAATGATATATTTTGACTCTTGAAATTCTCAGTAGATTAGAAAATGTAGCCTTAACATACTGTGCTAAGCACTTTAATTACTGGCAGGGTTTAGTACAGCTTAATAAAGCCTTCTCAGCAAACCCAACTTGAATTTCCTTGATTAATGCAAGATGTGATGCCATTGCAGTAGGAACTGAAACAGTTCTTCACCCACCAGGATCCCCTCTATACAGCCTGTAGAACAGGAAAAGCAGAACAAACACTTTTTTTTTCTCCCCAGGGAGATTCTGTAAGACAGTATTTTGACAAAGCTAGCAGAGAGGAGATAGGCCATGCAGAAGGAGGCAGAGACTCAAACATTTATCTGACAGGTCTTAAAATACCAGTTCTTCCTTAAAGCCAATGGCTTCTTTTCCTAATATTCCACCTCTCCCAGGTCTCACCAGCATTCTAGAAGGGCTGTCAAGAGGACAAGAAGACTGAGGAGAGAGTCAAATTGTACAAGCAGATACAAATTACTTTTAAAAAGTGTTTTTTCTATTAATTTCAGGGGTACTTTACTTCTGATGCTGAAAATTTTATATTATTTGAAAGTAGCAAAGCATCAGCTTGACATAAGTAGCTAGAATTGTTATGCTGTGAATAGAACTTTAGCTGAACTCTATGGCTATGTTGTATATTTCACAGATGTATTATGGTGAAACCTGGAACTAACAATCTGAACACTAATAATAGTTAGAACAGACAAAGCTGGAAGCTTCATTATTATTTAAAAATTAGTAGCCAGAGTGGACAGCCCCTAAATTGTGGCATGTGAACTATAACAACACTATTACATGGGCTACAGAACTGGCTGAACCCCCCCACTGAAACCAACCTAAGAGGATGTAAAAATGACCACATAGCAATCACTTGGTAAAAAATGTAACAAAGGATGACAATACCACAGCCCCTAACATGGCTGCTGCTCCAAACTGCCACATGACAGATGGGGAGCTTCCATTATAAGGGTGTATTTTCCCAGGGATTTCTTTTTCCATGGTCCCTCTTTTCAGGCACTTGGCTGGAGCTACCAGGTATCATAATTGATTTGTGCCAATAAACCTATCTAATAGAGATAAGAGCTCGATGTCAAAAATTTCTGTAACACCTAGGTTTCAAGGAAATTAGGTTTGGGAATTTTTTTGTTCTTTTAATCCTGTGTCTATTATGATGTATGATATAAATGGAAGAGCTACAATCTAATTGCCTTTTCTTTCATTCAGATCCCCCTTTTCCCACTAACCAGCAAGCTGGCTGGTTCTGTGAGCATATGTGGCTATCAGATCTGATAGCCACATTTTATTGAGAACTGAGCCTCAGCTAGTTATAACTATCAAATATAGAACGTTTTTTTTATTGGATTACAATAAATCATTCAGTCAGGAATATGCAGGAATGCTGAGGGTTCTGCTTTCCTCATGATGTTAATGGTTACACACAACCTGCACAGGCTTCAGTTGTCTGAAATCTAGCCTCTATTTATTTGCTATATTTTCAAGACATGACACTCATCTTTTCATATCATTTCAGAACTACAGATGAGGCCTAAATAACAGTGGCTGTTCACATGTTATCACAAATTATGCTCCTAATTTGTTCAATTCAATAAATTTCAACCACATTTTATTCCAAGCTATATTTATTTCAAAACATGCTTTGACAGAGGATTGCTCCCTTTGCTTTGCAATGTGTTAAACATCTTGTAACAATCCTATTTGGTGACAGGTAATTCAAATACAGACTGCCAACTGAGATCCAATCTTTCTCTTTCCCTTTGCATGAAAAATAACAGTAATTTGTAAAAACAGTTACCTCGCTGAAAGCTTGAGGTGCTCTTTAGTACAATAACTGCAAAAAGCACAACAAAACAAAACAAACATAGTCAAAATAAACAAACATGAGTAAAAAGCATAAAAGTGATTGTATTTACAAAGTTAGATTAAGAAAAAATGATTAGCCAAAAAAATAAAATCTTGCATCTTGTAAGGTATTCCTCACACCTACAGAAATTCCTCTTCCTTCCCATTAATGAGAGGTAATCCTGAAAAGGACATTTTCTTGTGAATTCTGGGTTTGTGGAACAAAGATTAAGCAATTCATCATTCATATTCATAGCTCAGCTATCATTTACCATTATGTCTTTTTTAATAATAAATTCTTAGAGAGTACTTGTTTCCTGTAGTGTTCTAACTCCAGGTTGAGCACTCCAGTACCACCGTGCTGCAGCTACTCTGCACAGATATCCCTGAAAACGCTGGGCTCTAGTGGAGTGAGGAAGGCAGGGTGGAGTGAGTGACCTTTATCTTGGTATTTCCTGGACCTATATTTCACCTTTCTTCCTCTGTTTCCCTGCTACACCCGTTTCTTATTAAAAGAGTTGGATTAAAAGAGGCCTGCAGCACTGAACTGCAGACTTTATGACGTATATAAGCATTTGACAAGCTCTGGGCTTCAGCAAGTTTGGAGACCATGCTTCCCCAAGGAATGGATGCCTTCCTACAGTGGCTGGTTGATTGATTTTCTATTGTATTTTCACAATGACATCAATCATGCCTAGATCCCTTCTCTGTGGTGACCAGAGGCATGACCCAAGGGAATGACCTGACGTTTTGTTAGAGGAAGCTTAGGCTGGGTATAAGAAAAAGGTTCTTTACCCAGATTCTGGGGCTGGGTACTGGAACAGGCTCTCCAAGGAAGTGGTCACAGCACCAGCCTGACAGAGTTCAAGAGGCATTTGACAACGCTCTTGGGCACATGGTGTGACTCTTGGGGTGTCCTGTGCAGGGCCGGGAGTTGGACTCGATGATCCTTCCAGCTTATAATTCTGTGATTTTCTGGTGCTAATCCATGCAAAGATAAGGACTGCGCTATGACAAGACACAAGTGGAATCCGGGCGAACGACAGCCAACCAGTCCCTCTGCTCGTTCCGACGGCTCCAGTAAAGCTTGGGAGTGTTGGAGTTCAAAGACAAGAACCTTATCTATGGGCCGCCCCCGCTGCCTCGGCCTGGGCTCAGCCCCCAGCGCCGCCTGTGCCCGGAGCCCCGCAACAGCGGGGGCGAGCGGGGTGGCGGTGCG